CCGCTCCGTGGGGAGCAGATTCACGGGAACAAGCCTTGGTCCCCACGGGGTTCCCGGTTCACTGAGCACACACACGGTGCTCCCCACAGCCAGCCCGCCGCCTGGGCCGGGCGCGTCGGAGCGCGGGTCCTGCTGAGGCACGCGGCGGGAAGCCCTGTGCCCAGCTGGCCCTGTTTCTGCAGGGCCATCTCGGCTAAGAGGACTCTGCTGAAATGAAAGCCGAGCAAGTTGTGGACTCCCCGCTCCCTGCTGAAGGCGGGATGTCTCGTCCACCTCTACCCCATGGGCCTGGCCAGGACACTCTGGCAGCTGGCCCAGCCCCGATGCCCCCTCGCTGGAGTGAAGTCCGGGCACGCCCAGGAGCTGGGGCTTCGGGGGACTACCGGAAAGGCACAGGAGCAGGAATTTAAATGAAGTGACCCATGTTTGCAAGCAGCGTCTTCCTCGCCTGGTTAAACAGATTTATGGCTATTTTTGGTTTGCTCTGAAAAAGGCAGAGGGCGGATGGCCCGCTGGGCGCCAATCTGCAGAAACAAACTCCTTCCTCAGCTCAGGGCTCAAAATACACTCCAGCCGAGAAGTCTCGACTCCTGCTGCCAGCACGCCGAGCACAGCCATACATGGCCAGAGGTGAGGAGCCAAGGAAGCATCTTCCCATCACATGATTCTCGGGCCACGCGGGCGGGAGGGCACTTCTGAAACAGCTCACCAGCGGACTGCAGCTGACTCCACTCCGGCACAATGGATTAATAGGCAATAAAATGATGCTTTGGCCATCTGCAAAGGAAGGCCACGGCCCACCAATCAGAGCGCGCGTCCGACCCGAGGCAGCTGAAGCCCTGAGGCTGGAAACGCTGACCCGGCAGGATGAGCGCGCGGGGGCTGCCGAGCACCCACCTCGTCCCTCGACCCCACTCTGTAACCGGAGCCCGGGAGGACCGCATCACTCCCCACAGCTCCCTGGCTCCCGCTTCTAAGCGAGGCCGTTCCGCCCGGGGGAACGCTGGCACATCCTAGCATTCTTGTCAGTCTTAACGTCGGACTTTTCTCAAAACAACCGCCTCCCTGCGTTGTATTGGGCAGGTAAGCAAGGAGGAATGGCTGCGCTCTGCAGCCAGCAGCGCCTCTGTGCTTTGAAAACACTGACTGGACCCAGCCCACAGGGCACAAAGGCCCTGAACGCTCTGCTTTTGGAAAGACTCCGAGCTGCGAATTTTCTGAAATTACAGCTCTGGGAGCGAACTAAGACTGCACGTGAACTTCAGAACCACAACAGCACACTCAGCACAGACCAACTCTGACAAAGGGATTCTGCGAATTCAGTTAAAAGAGACCTGTCATTCCCAGGGAAGGCAGGGCCGGGGTGACTTCTGGGCCACTCACAGGATCCAGGACAAAGCCAGCCGGCCGCCCCTCACACAGGCCCTGCGCGGCCAAGGACCGCCAAGGCTGCCCCTTCATCAAGCAGCGGCTTTCGCGTGCGCCTGCGACGGGCGGCAATGAGGCGTGCCCCGGCGGCCCTCATCTGCCGAGAAGTCATGCTCCATTTCTACTCCGCCATTCATCAGGCTTCAATTAGGCAGTTACAAAAACACCCCTTCCCCAGCCCATTCTGGGTGACGGGGACCCACGGGGCCTCCGGTCCAGCCTCAGGTGGAAGGTGGGCCCCAAGGCTGGCCTCCCCACAACCCCAGCAGGGGAAGCTGGTGCCCCCCAAGCTCTGGAGGAAAACAAACGGCTAATCCTAAGCGGCCCAGCTCTAAGAAGGGAGTTTCTTTCACGTCTCCAGTTCTCAAACCACGTGAATTTAAAGGCATCTCCACAACACATCTGTTTCAACATTACTAACAAATGACTTACTACTTTCTCTCTAGACAAGTACAACTCACACCACGAAGAGGTGCCATATTTAACCCCCTGCTGCAGCATACATGAGGGGACCCAAAGGTCCCCAGCAGGCAGAGCCCCCAAGCAGGAGGACCTGGGACTCTGGGCACTGCACGCCCGTGCCACCACCTGGAGTTCTCAACTGTCTAATCAAGTAAAGTGCTGGCAGCACCCGAGACGGGTGCTGTGCAAACAGATCAAGTCAGAAATCACACACAGAGACGCAACCCAGGCGAGGGCGTTTGGCCTCGTGGGCAAGATGCTTCTCTGTCACAGTGAGTGCCTGGGTTCCATGCCCCTCTAGCTCCTGGCTTCAGCTTCCTGCTAACGCAGACCCTAGGAGGCAGCAGCAATGGCTCAAGTAACTGGGTCCCCACCATCCCCAGCTGTGACGGGCATTAGGAGTAAACCAGCAAATGGGAGCACTCTTGCTCACGTATTCTATGTACTGCCAGCTCTAGGCATACAGCAGGCACTCAGTAGATGCTAGCCACCTCCCCCAGCCTTGGTCCGGCACTACCCCGTCTAGCACCCACTATAGAAGACGAAGTTACAAATGGAAAGACAGCCATCTGTGCAATGCCACCCAGGGCAACCCTGCCTGGCACGGCAACCTGTGTCCAACACCCCATCCCACAAACTAACCGCGGGCTGTGGTGCAACATGGCTCTTGGTCCTCTCCTTCACACCCCATCAGTGTGGCAACATCCCTGTGGAGGCCAGGGACATGGCCCCCGAGCACAGGGACCAGCTGACCAGCTGTAGGCCCGTCTCTGAGACAAGAGTGGAAACACTGGGCTGTGTAGGAACAAAACGCCCTGCAACGCCAAGAGTTGCCCAGGGAAGTCTGATCATCGTCCCTCGTGGCCAGGTTGGGTTAGCAGCAACTGAACTGGCAAGCTAAGTCTATACTCAGCCAGACACATGCTCACACAGAGTTCACGAGAAAAACCAGCACCTGCAACACACCCAGTGAAAGGCTGGATCAGACCCGAGACCACCTCTGCCTGCAGCTTCTGCCCAAGGCCATGGCAGACCCTGACCAGGCAACAGCACCCAGCACCCACCAAGCCTCGCACTGCCGTGCAGTCTCTGTCGCCACGGCAGGCGAGCCAGGGCCGCCTCTCGCCGGCCCAACTTGACGCTTCATCGTTTTTAAGAAGGACCAATCCTCTGAGCTCACTGCCTGCCCTGCTCCCACCATGCAGGACCAGACTGGGAAGAATCCAGATTCAACCTTCCCAACAGACCACGGTTTAAAAGTCAGGGAACGCGGGGGCTGGCGCTGTGGCACGGTGGGCTAAGCCTCTCCCTTTGGCGCTGGTTCCTGTCCTGGCTGCTCCACTTCCGATCCAGCTCTCCACTAACAGCCTGGGAAAGCAGCAGCAGATGGCCCAGGTGACTGGGCCCCTGCACCTGTGTAGGAGACCCGGAAGAAGCTCCTGGCTCCTGGCTCTGGATCGGCCGAGCTCCAGCCATTGTGGCCACTTGGGGAATGAATCAGCAAATGGAAGACCTTCCTCTGTGTCTCTCCCTCTCTCTGTGAAATCTTTATTTTAAAAAAAGGGGGGGTGGTTTTCACACAAAAATCCCAGCGCATGGCTCCTCCAAAAAATGTGAGAACGAGCAGCAGAGGGTCACACTCCTAACAGGGCGGCTGTCCTTGCAGACGGGCTGCGTCCCAACCCCACCACGCCCTCTTACAAGAGCCCAGTGATCCCCCTCCCTCACGCCTTGGTATGGAACCCCGATCCCGAGCCTCTGCTAGGCTCACCGGAGCGGCAGGGCCACTGACCTCGGAAACCACCTCCTCTTCCCCCCCGAACTGCTCCGTGCAGAACACAGCAAGGTCACCACTTCTTCCACCGGCTCCGCTCAGTCTCCCAGCTGCCTCTGGGCTGGGAGACTGTGTCCCTTACACACACACAGACAGCTGCCCCCTGGGCCTCCCACACTGCCGCCAAGAGCTGGATCTGTGACAACACAGTTTCATGCAGCTTTTCCTAGCAAAGCTGTTCTGACTTCACACAATGGAATTAAGTAACCTGGTTAGCAGTCTAGCAGATGAACCAGGACACCTCCCTGAGGAGCCGCATTTAGCAACAACTACACCCAGGAGGACACAGCATTCATGCAAACAACAGAGCAAGGACTCAGGACCAGGTTCCAGACCCAGGGCCAGCACCCACAGGCGGAATGAGCTACGTTGAGCAGGTGGCCTCCGGGGACCCAATTTCATTTCATGGCTTTTCGACTGTCCCCTGGGTATTACACCGAGCGTTTTCAAACAGTACAATGCCAGTTAATCTGGGGCATCATTTGGAGACTAATCACTCTAATAATTAAAAAAATAAATAAATAAACACCTTTAAAAACGAAGTGGCTACTTTTAAACGAGCACCTGAAAAGCCACTTTTCATGGCAGGTGTTTGGTGTGCTGATCAGGCTGCCTGCATGAAGTCCAGGCTGCTCCGCTTCTGATCCAGCTCCCTGCTTATGCACACTCTGGGAGGCAGCAGAGCAGGGCTCAGGATCACCCACGTGGGAGACCCAGATGGGAGTTCTGGGCTCCTGACTGTGGCCTAGTCCAGCCCCAGCCGTTGTGGACAACTGGGGAGTAAAGCAGCAGATGAAGATCAATCGATCACTCCTCTCTTTCAAATAAAATAAAAATAAATAACTTAAAAAACAAAAGCCAACTGCTGTCTGTCAGATCTTCCCACTCTGGGCCACTGAAGCACCCTGCAGGGTGGATGCTCCCACCGCACTGGCTGGAGAAGCTCACCCGACAGTGGGCAGGGCGGCTAAGCGCCTGACGCTGCCCCGTGGGCACCTGCTGGACGTCTGTCCTCGCCTTCCCGGTGCCCAAGTGCTACCGTGCAGCACTGCGGACAAGGTGGGGGGGAGGCTGACCCACGGCGATCCACACCAGAACTCCTATCCTGGCTTCACCAACGAGGATGGCTCTAAGACGACTACCATGTGGAATTCAACTCTGTTGGGAGGGATCGCGGGGCCCTGTGGTGTTTTGAACTCTGCACGGAAAGACAGCTACAGAAAGCATCCGACCGTGACGGCAGGCTCAAAGGGAAGGACGCGAGGAGGGCACGCACCAGGTCGATCAGGTCGCTGAGGTTCTTCTCGATCTGCTGCGGAGGCAGGCGCCTCATTAGGTCCAAGGCACAGTCCAGCTGCTGGTCACTCTGTGGAGGGAGAAAGAAAAGCATCTAAGCATCCTTTCACAGCAGGAAAACAGAAACTCCTTCGACAAAGCACTGTTGCACCTGCTATTTGCCCAAGGTATCCTCAGACCCAGGGAGCCCTGCAATGGGCCCTCTGCCCGCCCCCATGCACCTGCAGGGGACCGGTTGGGGATGCCTGCACCTTTGATGGCAGTCTCTGTCCAAAGACTCTGAAAAAGCGGGAGACAGGCGGGAGAGTCCAGAAAGCCCCCTCTTTGGCCTCCCTTCTGCGCAGCTGAGCTGGGAGGCTGCAAGGATATAATTCCCGGCTGGGTCCATGGTGAGCTTGCTCGACGGGTTTCCCTCTGCTGTAACCTGCATGCAAACACCAGGTAACTGCAGCCCACCCCCTGGTGAGCACCACACCAGGGAAAGCCAGGTGAACAAGCTAAGTTCACGCAGAGGCCGAAAAGTCTTCAATCCTTCAGCTAAAGCTTGGTCACCTTCCCAAGGCCCTGTGCACGCTTGACCAACACCAGAGCCACGCCACAGTCGAGAGCTCCCTTCAACTGGCAAAGTGGACGACGCGTGCAACAAACTTCATATCCAGGAGGATAAGAATTACTTTGCTTCCTGAGCACCGTTTTAAAGCTACGCACTGAGTGCTTCACAATGCTGTCCTCATTCGCCATCTATGCCACAAAGTCACCCTGGGCCAGTCGCCCGAACCACATAAGGCATGCTAAGAGGAGGCAGCACACACAGGTAAGGGTGGACGGCACACGGGAGCAGGATGAGAAAGGCGGGCCATGTAAACCAGCAGACACCTTCGTGTGGGCCAGTGAAGCTGACGCGGGCCCCACAGCCACCTAGCAGAGAGCCACTGTGCGCTCTGAGTCTGGGGCCTGCCCCACTCAGGTCAACTCCAGGACTTTCTGAGTTCTGCATCAACAAGCGCCAGAGTCCCACTGAATATACAAAGGGACCCCCGAGCGCCGCATTTGGCTGCAAGGAAACACAGGCTTTGGGCATTCCTGTCTATTCTCCAGGGCAATCAGCCTCCCGCAGGCCGGGGGCCTGGGACCCCTTCCCATTTACTGGGGACACTACCACCTAGACTCAGTTTCAGATTTTAAGACAGCATACCCAGCTGGCCACCTTAAAAAAACGAAACAAAAAAAACTTTCTTTACTCAAGACACAACCAACCCAGCCGCCTTGCAAAGAAAAAGGAAAAAAACCCACACCAGAAACCTTATCACTTGTTTGCTTAGTGACACATTCCGGCAACCCTGAATGTGCTGCGGTGCAGCACACTCCCACACCCACGGGCCTCGGCCAAGGCCACGGTGACACGGGAAGAAGAGCAGCACCACGCTGAGGGCGGAACACACAGCTAAGGATGAGAGGCCCGGTCGAGCCCCACTCTGTTCACCATGACCTTAGGCAAATTCTCTAACTTCTACAAGCCTCAGTTTGTTTATCTGTAAGATGGCGGCAGTCATGACCTCAGAGAGTTAACATAATTTCAGTAACACATGTGACACCCCACGAGGCACCAGATGGCCTGCCCACAACACGGAGTCACCTGGCCGCAGAGGTCAAGCCCAAGGCCTCCTTGCCACAGTAACATTTTACGTACAGCTCTAACTCAGAAACCACTGAGATGTCTAGAAACTTCCAGTCATTGGACAGCATATCAACTAGATATTAACAATCTTCTTGGCATTGAAAAGCAAACTCAGACATCAGTAAAACTAGCTAACTTGAGGCTTTAGTCCAGAACGTACTAGGACTCAGAAGGGATTAACTAGAAATTGAGCAGTGATGAGCAGGAGACAAAATGGGACTTGACCAGAGAGGGTCCACGTGCAAAGACGGAGCTTTGACCCTGCTCTGGGCTTCGGTGCCAGCCGCTTCCTCCAGACGGCCCTCCCCCGCCCGGCTGCACGGAGCTGGCAGCACTCAGTCACCAGCCCACAACCATCTACCTCATATTTTACATAATCCCAATTAATCTTAATTGGAAATGTTTCACAACGGATTTCTAAGGCTAAGGATGTTTAACTATCATTAAATTAGGAAATGGCTCAATGCTTCCCATAAGTGAAGCAACATGGGAAAGCCTAGTGACAGCTTGTAAAAAGTTAAAATTAGAGTTAACTGGAGCCATTTGCTTGGGAGCCATCCCAAACCCTAAGGGGTCCACACAGGAACAACACGGGAGAATAAAAAACACGTGGGTGACCCGCAGCTGTGGCAACAACATGCGTGACCTTAGAAATGGGGTGGGCGTGACTACCTAGGACACTGTGACTTCCATAAAGCTCACAAAGGGCTCTGTTATTTAGGCATAAACCCCTGTGTGTGCGCCTATTTCAAACTAATATGCCAACACAGCAAGGCATTTTTTTCCCCTTGGAGCTAAGACAAATGCAAAATCCAGAAGAGAGAAAGGGAAGCCACAGGTGGAAGACAAAAGCTGGTATCTTGGGGCCGCCGCCTGTGGTGCCAGCATCCCATATGGGTGCCAGTTCTAGTCCTGGCTTCTCCATTTCCGATCCAGCTCTCTGCTATGGTCTGGGAAAGCCGTGGAAGATGGCCCAAGTCCTTGGGCCCCTTCATCCATGTGAGAGACCCAAAAGAAACTCCTGGCTTCAGATGGGCGCAGCTCCGGCTGTTGTGGCCAATTGGGGAGTGAACCATTGGATGGAAGACCTTTCTCTCTCTCTGCCTCTCCTTTCTCTGTGAAACTCCAACTTTCAAATAAATAAGAGAGAGAGGAAGAGAGAGAGAGAGAGAGAGAGACAGCTGGTATCTGCCTCATGGATTGGCAGGTTGAAGAGTACTGAGCATATCATGTCGTTATCAGATATCCAAATATGGATAAAGCCGCTAGAAAAAAATACAAGACAGCACTTGAGACTTGGAAATCCCGGGTCCAAGATCTGCCTCGCCCTGGGGCGTCCGTGTGATTTGGGCTGCTCACGTACCCAGGTGGCTTAGGATGTGATGGCCCCAATGTTCCTTCCAGATGGACCATGCCCTCTTGCAAGTGCAGACTCAACTCCTGGGGCCCACCTGCCCCTCAACAAAACCACTGTCCTGGATTCAGCCCTTGATCAGACAAAAACTGTGCTGAGTGCCAGCTGTGGGCCAAGCCCCAGCTAGGCCCATGGGGTGAAACCTGGACCATACTGTTCGTAAAACAGTAAGCAACCACAGGAGCGGGTGATGCGTGCAGAAAGGAGACACTGGTGCCCAGAGGCAAGGCGGGGGCACCGTGCACTCCACTGCTCTTCCCACGCCTGCTACTCTCCTAGGATTTCCCTCCCATACAGTTACTTTCCCTAACAGGCTTCCTTCTTTTTCTTTAAGAGTAATTTATTTGACAGGCAAAGTTACAGAGAGAGGAGTGGGGGGAGAGAGAGATAAAGAGAGAGAGGCTGTCCATCTGCTAGTTCACTCCCCAAATGGTCTCAACGGCCAGGGTTGAGCCAGGCTGAAGCTAGAAACCTGGAACTCCGTCCATGTGAGTGGCAGGGGCCCAAGCGCTTGGGCCATTTCTGTTGCTTTCCAGGTGCATTAGCAGAGAGCTGGCTCAGAAGTGGAGCAGCCAGGAACTGAACCAGTGCTCACGCGGGATGCCGATGCCCTAGGCAGCAGCCTAACTGCGCGCCCCAGCCTGTTTGCTTTGTCAACTGTAGGCCCAAGGCTAGGAGCCTGGGACGCCGTCGCAGACTTCTTCGTAAGCTCCCCCTCCACTGGCGGTGTGTTCTGTACTGAAAAGGTAAACAGTGAAAGAACAGCCCTCCAGTTCTCTGCCCGTTTGCTTAGTCATTCAGTAAGTGTTTACTGGGTGTTTCCTAGTAACAGGCACTGGTTTTGCTGCTGAATGTTGAACAAAGTCTCCGGTTTTCACAGAGCTCATGATGCAAACGAAAACCCATATGGGGAAAAATCCAGGAAGCACCTTTGTTAGGATGCTGGAGAATTTAAAAAGGGCCAGCTTGGCCGGCGCTGCGGCTCAGTAGGCTAATCCTCCGCCTTGCGGCGCCGGCACACCGGGTTCTAGTCGCGGTCAGGGTGCCGCATTCTGTCCCGGTTGCCCCTCTTCCAGGCCAGCTCTCTGCTGTGGCCAGGGAGTGCAGTGGAGGATGGCCCAAGTGCTTGGGCCCTGCACTCCATGGGAGACCAGGATAAGCACCTGGCTCCTGCCTTCGGATCAGCGCGGTGCGCCAGCCACGGCGGCCATTGGAGGGTGAACCAACGGCAAAGGAAGACCTTTCTCTCTGTCTCTCTCTCACTGTCCACTCTGCCTGTCAAAAAAAAAAAAAAAAAAAAGGCCAGCTTTAGTGTATATTCAGGCTTTTGGTTGTGTTTCTTAGTATATGACCCAAGGTAGGAAAAGTCTCTTTTTTTTTAAAGTTGAAAGGCAGGGTTACAAAGAGAGGGATCTTCCACCTGCTGGTTCACTCCCCAAACAGCCACAACAGCCAGGGCTGAGTGAGGCAAAAGCCAAGAGCCAGAAGCTTCTTCCGGGTCTCCCAGGTAGGTAGCAGGGGCCCAAGGACTTGGGTCATCTTCAGCTCTTTCCCAGGCCATTAGCAGGGAGCTGGATTGGAAGAGAAGCAGCTGAACTTGAAACAGCAACCATCCGGGATGCCGGTGTCATGGGTGATGGCTACCCTCTGTGCCACAACACCAGCCTCCAAGAGTTTCACTTTCTGTTTTCACATCACAGAGAAAAGGCTCAAAATCGCTCAAATCACCCTGCAGCAAGCAAAACAACTGTTACTGTGGACTAAAGCAATTTTTCAGAATAACTATGTCAAACAACACACCGCAGCCTAAAACATCTCACCAGACTGGCACCAGAGGGCTGCCAATGATCCGCACACAGGGAAGCTTGGCCGGGGAGAAAACCAAAAGTCAAATAACCTGGGGCCGGGGCTGCGGCGCAGTGAGTAAAGCTGCAGCCTTCAATGCTGGCATCCCAGACAGGTACCAGTTCGAGTCCCA